TTGAGCTAAGAAAACTATATATTAAAAATTATAGTAAAAACCGCCAATATCTAAGTCAAGTTTGGTGGCACTTGGGGCTCAATAGTCAATGGTGACCTTTCTTTGGGCCCATGGCCCGTTTTTTTGGGCCCGTCCGCCCACAGATCCGCACCAAATGAATATAACCGTTGCCTGTATTTATTTATTTTTCTAATTATAGTATAAGAGATGAATTAAAGAGTGTATAAATGTTGCTTGTTGTCGGCCAATTATTGGCTGTAATAATTATATATTTCTCCCATATCTGTCTAATGTATTATTACTCGTGGCTTTTAAGATAAACCAATAGAAAAACCTTAAAATTCACATTTATCAGGTTGGAATAGTGAGATCATTTTATTAGAATTGATTCGTCTGTTCATTCTTCAACAAGCACACTATCCGAGCCCTGGTCTCCTCACACTGGTTGAGAGCTTACGATTTCATGTTCTTTTTCATCCTTTTCTCACGGTACTACTTCAGTATCAATCACCGATAAGTATTTAGTCTTGTAAAATTGTTCTTGTTGATTCACACGAGATTCTACGTACCCGATGCTACTCCAGTTAAAACATAAACTAATGACGCTTTCGGCTATTTATGGATAAAGTATAGTTTTAAAGTCAAGAAACTTATATTTAAGAGTAAGGATGTGGGAACGTGGCAAATGCCCATTACAAGAAGTTAGAAAGAATGGAAATGGTAGAGGAATTAACAAAGAAGAGAAGAGGAAGTTTCTTTTACATTTTATATATTAATATTATAATTAATAAATCTACTGTTCGGGCGTGAGATTGCATGGGAATGCAAACCTTTAGACTTTTGTGAGGTCAACAAACACTTTTGAAAGTCAAAAGGCATTTCCTCTATTCTCTAAATTTAGTTGCAGATTAGGTAATCCTAATCTAATCTTTATCTTTTAATTCATCTACATCATCACCCCTTCATTATTGTTTATCACATTACTAAACTAACCCTTTTTTATTCTATCCCAACTTTCCTCTATTATTGTTCCATTCTCTAATATTTTCTTATTTGGTTCCTACAAACTTAATAATTAATAGGAAATAAATTTAAATTTGAGGCAGGGCCAACATATTTTAGATCCGCCTCTCTATGCGTGTGTGTATGGTTGGACTCTTTCCTCCTTTGAACTAGCTTTTAAGAGTGAATTATACTCAAATCAACTTTTTCATAGTAATAGAATCACATTTGTTTGAGGCGATGGTGGGTTTGGACCCTGATTGTGCATGTTGAGTGTGAGGAAGAGTGTTAAAAGTTATATTTGTCTCACGTCGTTGTATCTATCTCACAAGTCATACCGTTAATTTAATAGACTATTTATGGTATATTTAAATAGATTGTTATGGTGTATATATGTGTGTGTGTGTGTGTATGTGTGGTTGGACTCTTTCATCCCTTGAGCTAGCTTTTGGGAGTAAGTTATGCCAAAATCTATTTTTTTTATAGTAACATAATCACATTTGTTTGAGGCGATGGTGGGTTTGGACCCTGATTGTGCATGTTGAGTGTGAGGAAGAGTGTTAAAAGTTATATTTGTCTCACGTCGTTGTATCTATCTCACAAGTCATACCGTTAATTTAATAGACTATTTATGGTATATTTAAATAGATTGTTATGGTGTATATATGTGTGTGTGTGTGTGTATGTGTGGTTGGACTCTTTCATCCCTTGAGCTAGCTTTTGGGAGTAAGTTATGCCAAAATCTATTTTTTTTATAGTAACATAATCACATTTGTTTGAGGCGATGGTGGGTTTGGACCCTGATTGTGCATGTTGAGTGTGAGGAAGAGTGTTAAAAGTTATATTTGTCTCACGTCGTTGTATCTATCTCACAAGTCATACCGTTAATTTAATAGACTATTTATGGTATATTTAAATAGATTGTTATGGTGTATATATGTGTGTGTGTGTGTGTATGTGTGGTTGGACTCTTTCATCCCTTGAGCTAGCTTTTGGGAGTAAGTTATGCCAAAATCTATTTTTTTTATAGTAACATAATCACATTTGTTTGAGGCGATGGTGGGTTTGGACCCTGATTGTGCATGTTGAGTGTGAGGAAGAGTGTTAAAAGTTATATTTGTCTCACGTCGTTGTATCTATCTCACAAGTCATACCGTTAATTTAATAGACTATTTATGGTATATTTAAATAGATTGTTATGGTGTATATATGTGTGTGTGTGTGTGTATGTGTGGTTGGACTCTTTCATCCCTTGAGCTAGCTTTTGGGAGTAAGTTATGCCAAAATCTATTTTTTTTATAGTAACATAATCACATTTGTTTGAGGCGATGGTGGGTTTGGACCCTGATTGTGCATGTTGAGTGTGAGGAAGAGTGTTAAAAGTTATATTTGTCTCACGTCGTTGTATCTATCTCACAAGTCATACCGTTAATTTAATAGACTATTTATGGTATATTTAAATAGATTGTTATGGTGTATATATGTGTGTGTGTGTGTGTATGTGTGGTTGGACTCTTTCATCCCTTGAGCTAGCTTTTGGGAGTAAGTTATGCCAAAATCTATTTTTTTTATAGTAACATAATCACATTTGTTTGAGGCGATGGTGGGTTTGGACCCTGATTGTGCATGTTGAGTGTGAGGAAGAGTGTTAAAAGTTATATTTGTCTCACGTCGTTGTATCTATCTCACAAGTCATACCGTTAATTTAATAGACTATTTATGGTATATTTAAATAGATTGTTATGGTGTATATATGTGTGTGTGTGTGTGTATGTGTGGTTGGACTCTTTCATCCCTTGAGCTAGCTTTTGGGAGTAAGTTATGCCAAAATCTATTTTTTTTATAGTAACATAATCACATTTGTTTGAGGCGATGGTGGGTTTGGACCCTGATTGTGCATGTTGAGTGTGAGGAAGAGTGTTAAAAGTTATATTTGTCTCACGTCGTTGTATCTATCTCACAAGTCATACCGTTAATTTAATAGACTATTTATGGTATATTTAAATAGATTGTTATGGTGTATATATGTGTGTGTGTGTGTGTATGTGTGGTTGGACTCTTTCATCCCTTGAGCTAGCTTTTGGGAGTAAGTTATGCCAAAATCTATTTTTTTTATAGTAACATAATCACATTTGTTTGAGGCGATGGTGGGTTTGGACCCTGATTGTGCATGTTGAGTGTGAGGAAGAGTGTTAAAAGTTATATTTGTCTCACGTCGTTGTATCTATCTCACAAGTCATACCGTTAATTTAATAGACTATTTATGGTATATTTAAATAGATTGTTATGGTGTATATATGTGTGTGTGTGTGTGTATGTGTGGTTGGACTCTTTCATCCCTTGAGCTAGCTTTTGGGAGTAAGTTATGCCAAAATCTATTTTTTTTATAGTAACATAATCACATTTGTTTGAGGCGATGGTGGGTTTGGACCCTGATTGTGCATGTTGAGTGTGAGGAAGAGTGTTAAAAGTTATATTTGTCTCACGTCGTTGTATCTATCTCACAAGTCATACCGTTAATTTAATAGACTATTTATGGTATATTTAAATAGATTGTTATGGTGTATATATGTGTGTGTGTGTGTGTATGTGTGGTTGGACTCTTTCATCCCTTGAGCTAGCTTTTGGGAGTAAGTTATGCCAAAATCTATTTTTTTTATAGTAACATAATCACATTTGTTTGAGGCGATGGTGGGTTTGGACCCTGATTGTGCATGTTGAGTGTGAGGAAGAGTGTTAAAAGTTATATTTGTCTCACGTCGTTGTATCTATCTCACAAGTCATACCGTTAATTTAATAGACTATTTATGGTATATTTAAATAGATTGTTATGGTGTATATATGTGTGTGTGTGTGTGTATGTGTGGTTGGACTCTTTCATCCCTTGAGCTAGCTTTTGGGAGTAAGTTATGCCAAAATCTATTTTTTTTATAGTAACATAATCACATTTGTTTGAGGCGATGGTGGGTTTGGACCCTGATTGTGCATGTTGAGTGTGAGGAAGAGTGTTAAAAGTTATATTTGTCTCACGTCGTTGTATCTATCTCACAAGTCATACCGTTAATTTAATAGACTATTTATGGTATATTTAAATAGATTGTTATGGTGTATATATGTGTGTGTGTGTGTGTATGTGTGGTTGGACTCTTTCATCCCTTGAGCTAGCTTTTGGGAGTAAGTTATGCCAAAATCTATTTTTTTTATAGTAACATAATCACATTTGTTTGAGGCGATGGTGGGTTTGGACCATGACTCTGCACGTCTGAGTGTGAGGAAGAGGCTATTATGGTGTATATACTATTAGACTGTCTCCTCTCCAAAACTAGCTTTTGGCTTTTTGAGTTCTACCCATTAAATCTTTCATTTTCAATTCTTAGTATAGGTAGGATTCGAATCCCAATCCTACAAGACTTTGGACCCCAGTTTTGAGAAAAAGGAACATGGTTCAAATTAGAGTCTCCATGAATTAAAAGGAAATGTGAAAGTTACTCAATTCAAAGGAGGACCACCTTTAAAACATGTGTTACTTGAAACGAAATATAAATCACAAATTAAAATTTAAAAGATATAATGAAGAAAAGAATGGAATATTGGAATGGAATGGTTGGCCTTAGTGCTAGCTAGGGCAAGAAGAGATGTCAAACACGTTGGGGGATCGTTTGGTCCAAAATGGGTTGGTTTACTTGCAAATCAAGCTTGGAATGTGAAAGTGTGAGAGAAAGTGAAAGGACCAAGTGGGGTTAGGTTAGATTTGAGAGACAACGTCAGTCAATAAATTGGTATTAAACAATAAAGCTGATTAAAGCAGAGTTCTATTAGGGTCAATAAAGGCTGATTTTAAAAAGGGTCATTAAATGAGATTAAAATATAAAAATTCGAGTCCAAATTTAGTCTTGAAAGTCAACCTTCTTTTTATGACAGGAATTGGCTAGTTGTACTTCACCCAAAACAATACAAACTCTCTCTCTCTTTGTCAATAAATACTCACACTTGAACTTCACACTGGTTTATATTTTTTACTTGAAGCTCTCTCTCTTACTCTTACAACTCTCTTATATTTTTCAAACATGGTGGTGGCTTCTGCAACTCCTAAACGAAGTGAAAAACTACAAGGTATTGAGCTACCTATCATAGACCTTTCAGGAGAGAGGTCAGAGATTTCGAAGCTCATAGTTAAAGCCTGTGAAGACTATGGTTTCTTCAAGGTGATTAACCATGGTGTTCACCAGGACATCATTGCCAGAATGGAAGAAGAAAGCTTGAATTTCTTTTCAAAACCAGTCGCCGAGAAGCAACAAGCTGGCCCTGCTAATCCTTTTGGCTATGGTTGTAAGAATATCGGCTTTAATGGTGACATAGGAGAGGTTGAATATCTTCTTCTTCACAACAATCCTCTCTCCATTGCTCAAGCATCCAAGTCCATTTCCAATGACCCTACAAAATTCCGGTACTTACACTAAAACCTATACTCATAATATTATTATTATTATTACGGTTTCTGGTTGTACCAGTTGGCTTTGCATTTCATGAACGTATTGAATATTTATATTAATGAGTGTTGTTGATTCTTATGCATGCATGTTATGAGATGATTTCTCTTTAAATAATAAGATGAAAAAAAATTAAATGGACCATGCTTATAAGTTCTTGCCATTTGCCAGCTTGTTCAAATTTAATGAGTTTTTATATACATGAATGAACGTGGTGTTAGGAACTATCTTGAAATGGGTTGTATTAATTAGTTTTTTTGGTTCCTCCATAGCTTTCATTTCAGCTTCACCTGTCAATCTTTTTAAAAGCATTATTCACGTCTAAGTTTTATAGCTGATTGTATAGTTTATACACAGTGGAATGATAAGTCATTTCACATCTGTTTTCAAAAGAAGTTGATATGATGAATAGGTCTTCTTTCTTTATCTTTCGGGCCATATTATTTATGATATTGCTGCTTCAACAATGGATAAAGCTATTTCCCCTTAAAAACTAGGGTCTATAACTTAAGGTAAATTATATGCAATTGAATTTGGTTTAAAGTTAACACGTGAACCATTGATTTGAAATGAACCTAATTGGCGTTAAATAAAGTCTTCCTAAAAAGTTGGATTATTAAGCTTGTGTCAGCATCACTTTTTAAATGCATGTCATAGAAGCAACCTGTTCCCAGTAATGAACAGAAGCAAAAGCACATGCCCCTGCATCTCAGTCGTTCTGTAACTTAAAAGAAGAAAGACAGTAGTATGTCAAGGAAGGTTCAATCAAATCAACCCGAAATTTATTTTACCCAAAAATAGAGAAAGTAACAGTTCCCAAACCAAAAGAAAAGAAAAGAGAGACAGTGTGAGTTTAAGCTAACCTGCTGTTTCATTGACATGTGAGTTTTTCATTATGTGCATGACAGGTCCGCTGTGAGTTGCTACATAAAAGCTGTTAGGGACTTAGCATGTGAGATCTTGGATCTAATAGCAGAAGGCTTATGGGTCCATGACACGTCATTGTTTAGTAATCTCATCAGAGACGTTGATAATGATTCGCTCTTCAGGATCAACCACTACCCATCTCTTGTTCTCTGTAAAGATAACATTAGGGACACTAAAATCGGTTTTGGAGAGCATTCGGATCCTCAAATTCTCACTCTTTTAAGATCCAACAACGTGGATGGCTTGCAAATTTCTCTTTATGATGGTGTGTGGATCCCGGTTTCCCCCGATCCCACTGCCTTTTGTGTTAATGTTGGTGACTTGTTACAGGTACGTGAAGGTCTACTTCTACCCTTTCGTTTCTCTTATTATTTTAAAGATGATGATAGGACTGATGACGAAGAGTGATGTGTATTGGGAATCAGTACGAACTCACAAGCAAAACTTTACCTCAAGCATTGGATTTGATGGCAATGTGGCACCCCACATATCAGTTTCTATCCAATCACCATTCCACCTCGGAGTTCAGTAATTGAGTTCACTATTCAAGTTCGAGATGAAATGGAACTGAAAAAGTCTCCTGGTTGGTTGGTTGGTTGGTTAGCCTCTGTGACTGTGTTGCCATTTATGGGCCTTGGAGCCAACAAGGGAAAACTATAAACTTCATTATTATAACTGTCACCTAAGTTTGTTTCTGTTTTCTGTGTTTTAAGAAACACAAAATAATGAAAATATCAGACTGGTTTGATTTGTCTACAGAAAAGGAAATTGAGTATATGGACAAAGCCTTTCGGCAAGATTTTTTTTCAAAGCAAAGATTTTTTTTTTTTCCCAAGTCCTTTTCTTTTTCTAACAAAATCCTCTTGGGGTCATTTTGTAGGCTATGACGAATGGGAGGTTTGTGAGCGTGAGGCACAGAGCACTGAGCAACTCTTATCAATCAAGAATGTCGATGGCCTTTTTTGGAGCACCGCCACTTCATGCAAAGATAATTACTCCCCCAGAAATGGTCACACACGGCGAGCCTTCCCTATATAAGCCTTTTACTTGGGCTGAATACAAAAAAACAGCATTTTCTCTAAGGCTTGGAGAGAGCCGTCTCAATCTCTTTAGAAAATCTAGAAATGATCTAGAAGATGCTTGATGCATGGATCTAAGGGTACTGTCAGTTTTTGGCTTTGAAAGGCTTCAAAGTCCACGTTTTCTTGTACCCACCTTGAAGGGGGAATTTTGGTCATAAACCTTGACGTAGCTTTTGTCCACAGTGAGTAGTTAATATTAGTACTAGTAAATGGGACCGGGAATATGACTTGTACTGTAATGTTCTACTACTGCAGTTAAATTATCAATGGAAGATCTTCTATTATGTATACTCTATAGAAAAAAAATGCAAGAAATTGGTTGATTATGAAGTATAGAAATCAATTTAAAGCACAAGAGTTTGGTTGATCATTTAGAATATCTATGCATACTACCACAACATTCCCCTTTCAAAACAATACTAGAAAATAAGAGTTAAATGATTTAAAGCTTATACAAATGAAGTCAAAAGTATATTGATGTCCAACTACTTGTATCAAAGAATACATGCAATTTTCAGCAATAAATTGAGTTAAGAGGCTATCTAAAAACATAGCCACTAAATCAAATCAGTCAAATACTTCAATGAATGTTACAACCAATCAGTAATTTTGGCTGTTAAACATGAAGTCAACTTCAGAACGTGTTCAGAGAGGGGAATTTTCTTCCTTGGTCTTATTATTTTCTAAAGAATTCCAACTATGCCAGTGATGGTCACAGAAGGCGATAAAGAGATGTTTGCTTGGGATTAGACGAGGATCTTGGTCCTTGCAGCAATGCGTGAGCATTTCTTTCGACCGGTTTTGCTAAGTGCACAAACACATGTCTCGAGGAGCTCGTAGTCCTCCTCCCAAAACAACAAGGATGCCTTCTCTGGGTTCTCCAGGAGCATCTTTGAGGTCAAGAAACCAGCAATTGTCCAAGTTTGGTTAAGCCGGGATTGCTTGCCTATGAACTTCCCACTTCGTGTGTCGTAATATTCAGGCCATTTATCCACTGATAGCCTCTGCTCTGCCATAGAAACTGCCTTTTGTGCTAATTCTGGTCTTCCCATCTTGATGCAGGCCAAGGTGAACTGGAAAATAAATCGGCAAAAGAATTAGTGAGTACACTGAATTAATTCATATCATTATGACATAGCCAAATACTCAAAACATAATTACACTAGGCATGATCAATAGTTAAGAACTTCGTTTAAATAAGATGACTCAATCCCAAAAGCAAACAAAAGAACAGAATACAGGAAAAATTTCCACTTGAATTACTGTTATTCTCACCTGCCATAGGAGTGTTGGCCAAGATCCACCATTATGATACGACCATGGGCTGCATATAGACAGAGCAACATATCAATAATTCTATCCATATGAATACGGAGATACATGTAACAAAACATATGAAAAGAGCCTCACGTGTTCTTTGGGTCACCGCCAGTGATTATACGCCATTCCTCATACTCCAAAGCAGGGTAACAAATCTTAAGAGGCATATGAGCAACAAGATCATCCCATTTGGCCTCAATCAAATTCAGAATACCCTCATTCTGCTTTGGGGTACCTAAAGAAGAAACAATGGCCCAAAGATTTCCAAGTGTGAAGAACCTAAAATCCATATGACCGGGTTCTAGATTGCCAATGAGATAGCCACCTTCATTGGGTATCCAATCAACTAGCCATGAAGGAATTTGATCAGGATAGATATTGAACTTGTTGACGGCGTCTACAGAGTATTCTTCTGTCTTGTAACGGTAGATCTCATTGATTTTCTTCATATCCGCCCAATAATATTCTCTGACATGAAATGAGAGTGCACTAAGTCGATTATTTACAGCAGCTACCAGGTTCTTAGTTCCATCATTGACAATGAGCATCTCACGGGAGCAGCGTAATGCAGCATAGAACAGGGCCTACAAAATGAGATTGTCAAAACATAAACTAAAGGCAAAAGAAAGCATGTAAAAGAAAAAAGTAAAAAGATAATGACAAAATATGTTGAATAGTGGAGTCAGTAGGTAGGAATTGTTATGTGGTACATCTGTGCTATGCTTCGCAAAAGCATTAGTAGTTAAAATCTTCAATGGCATTGGTTATATAAAGATGGACAACAAAAGCAAGTATTGAATTTTGGTTTCCAGCCACCTCTGAACACAATTAAGAAAATAAGGCAACTACTTTCAGATTTATGTTAATTTTGAACCATACTGAGATTGATAAACTTACTTGGATTTCAAGAGGGTGTCCGTGGATACCCATACGTCTATCAATCATGCAGGACCCATCAGTGACTAACAGAGATGGAAACATGTCAAATCCATCAGTTAAACACAAATTTAGGATCAGCCTTATGCCCGTCTGGACATCCACCCTCTCCTGCAATGCATAGTCACCTGTGATCTTTCCATATGCTCTCAACAAAATGATCCACCATAACCCTATCAATGTGGTGAAAATATTGATCAAATTCCAATTATACCCATATCGATATTTCAAGAGTGAAGAAAGTGTTGAGAACTGCTGTATTCTAAATTGGCAGAAGATTTGACAAAAATTCCAAAAAACAGAAAAGATGTTGAACAATAGTGAAAACTTTTCAATCAACATTAACGGTAAATTAATAAATTACCAAATGCTACATTGAACAGAACTGAGCATTATCTTACCAGAATCAACAGGTGCAACACGACCAATAGCTGATTCACCAAAATCAGGATCTAGAACCTCTTCAAACGCTCCATCACTTCCATCCAGAGGCACGGTTTTAACTTTAAAACTTGCTGGCATCAGCCCTTGCCCAGGACTATAGCAGTCCACAGTCTTCTCCCAACTCTGACAATCAAAAAATAGAAAAAACGACTCAACTGTAAAGTTGGATGACCTGCCAGAGCTCACATAGGAAGTAAAACTAATGTTTCATGAGTTATTTAGAAAGAAAATTGCTATGTAGCCTAAAAGCAAGAAAATTTTTCAACAAAAATTCTCTCTCTTTCTCTTCACTTTTTATTGTGTAGAAGTGTTCAGGATATAGTCATGGGTTGAGATATTGACAACGAACAAAAAAAAGTAGGCTATACTTTCCATAGTTAAAACAACAATCTCTACATTATTGGTTAGATAGGAAATAATTTCCCTAGCACTCATATAAAGGAAAAAATACACAAGTTAATAGTCAAATTCACATGCATATTTTAATCAATGAGCTTCTAGGCAAGCTTAATAAGTGAGACCATTATGCATAACGGCAGCCTTCTAGGTCCAAACTGAATCAGTGCATTCCAAGAGATTTCTCTAGCCGGCTTTGTATCAAGTATTTTAATCCCAGCAAGTTTCTCTAGCATTTTCTACCAGACAATAAGCTTGTATATTTAAATTCAATGATCAAAAATAGAAATATTCCTTGTCCAAGAAAATTAAAAAAATAATGATAAACATTCACCAACACTGTACTTTTAAGAACAAGGAAATAAAAGAAGCATAAAATGAGGCAATTTTATGGTTTTTAGATCACAAAGTACCTGCAACTGNAACAACAATCTCTACATTATTGGTTAGATAGGAAATAATTTCCCTAGCACTCATATAAAGGAAAAAATACACAAGTTAATAGTCAAATTCACATGCATATTTTAATCAATGAGCTTCTAGGCAAGCTTAATAAGTGAGACCATTATGCATAACGGCAGCCTTCTAGGTCCAAACTGAATCAGTGCATTCCAAGAGATTTCTCTAGCCGGCTTTGTATCAAGTATTTTAATCCCAGCAAGTTTCTCTAGCATTTTCTACCAGACAATAAGCTTGTATATTTAAATTCAATGTTCAAAAATAGAAATATTCCTTGTCCAAGAAAATTAAAAAAATAATGATAAACATTCACCAACACTGTACTTTTAAGAACAAGGAAATAAAAGAAGCATAAAATGAGACAATTTTATGGTATTTAGATCACAAAGTACCTGCAACTGCAATGTGTGAAGAAGAAAATTCTTGACAATCTCCCCTTCTCCATTTAGCAAGAAGGCAAGTGCTGAAGGTGCAAAATCACGAATGAACACCTGATCGTAATTCAACGGTTGCTTATCTGCAGGATCATTAGCTGCAACTGTACCCACTGGATTCCCACAATAACTCACAATTGAATCTCGAAGCAACTTCCACGCTTCCTCCTCAATCTTCGATGCTTCTCTCTGAGCTTTGACATTCTCATCTAAGTGCTTCAAATTATCTAAATTTACACCTAACCCGTTAACATCTACCCTATTATCTTCCTCTTTCACCGCTTCATTTCCTGATTCAATTCTTTCAATTACCAAAGGCTTCACATTCAAACCACCTTGAATGTAAATCCTCTCAAAACCCTTCTCATTAACATGATTTTCAATTGACGTTGAGTGATTCCTAAAATCCGACGCTACATTGGGAATTACTAAAACACCCCTTTTCCTAGCTTTATAAACACGAAAACTACTCTTTCCTAACCCTTTCGCGGGAGCCCAACTCGAATCGGATACACAAAAAGTCCTCCGATTCGGATCAACTACACACTTATTATAACCTATAACCTTACATCTAGCTTCCCCATTACGAAGAACCGATTTCGATTGTGACTTCGACAAATTTCTTGTAACTAAATCTCTCGATTTGAAATTAGAAACCCCAAATATTGAGGAGATTCTGTAACCAATCAAGAATCTACAACAAGGCTTCATAGTAGAGATTCCAATACAGCTACTAGTATTCATTGTTGTTACGAATTACAAGTATATGTAAATCTATCCTAATTTTATATTTACACGTCTCTGTTAATCTTGAAAATATAAAAACAGAGAATAATTTATAATTTAATAATTATAATTAAAAAGCTAAAATGAAAATAAATTGGAACTAGCTTTTTACTTACAGTTGAAGAACAGCTTGAGAGAAAATGCTTTTGAATTTTGAAGGCGTCTAGACTTTTGGTGCAGAGCTTCAATGGCCTTTTATAGACTGCGTGATGGGGAAAGTTCGTTGTTGATTCAAAAGTNATTATAACCTATAACCTTACATCTTGCTTCCCCATTACGAAGAACCGATTTCGATTGTGACTTCGACAAATTACTTGTAACTAAATCTCTCGATTTGAAATTAGAAACCCCAAATATTGAGGAGATTCTGTAACCAATCAAGAATCTACAACAAGGCTTCATAGTAGAGATTCCAATACAGCTACTAGTATTCATTGTTGTTACGAATTACAAGTATATGTAAATCTATCCTAATTTTATATTTACACGTCTCTGTTAATCTTGAAAATATAAAAACAGAGAATAATTTATAATTTAATAATTATAATTAAAAAGCTAAAATGAAAATAAATTGGAACTAGCTTTTTACTTACAATTGAAGAACAGCTTGAGAGAAAATGCTTTTGAATTTTGAAGGCGTCTAGACTTTTGGTGCAGAGCTTCAATGGCCTTTTATAGACTGCGTGATGGGGAAAGTTCGTTGTTGATTCAAAAGTGTTGATTTTACGTTGATATCCCTGCACGTGCAAGTTGCTTTGATATTGTTGTTGTAAGAGTACGGGAATAACCTTGAACTTTTGAGATTATTACTTGAAAGCTTTTTGTAGGTGCTGGTTTTATATATATATATATATATATAAAATTTAATTTAGAGATGACTAGGAAAATTCTAAACGTGATTAACATGAAATGGTTTGCTTTCATACTAGTTATCATAGACATTTGTATAGCCAAAAGCTATTGATTGTGCTTTTCAAATATTATAGGTTTGACGACAATTCTAATTTTGAAGTTAAATTATGTTTTTTTTTTTTTATAATTGGAGCGTTTGAAACCAGCGTGATTGCATCACGGGCCTAATTTTTTAAGTTTATTGAATATTTTATAAATCAAATAGATCATGCAAGTCAGAAATGTGGTTAGTAATCACTCTTTTTTAGATTCAAACTATAACACTCAAAAGTTTTGTCATCCGATCACAAGAGAAGTGGGCAAGTCAAATTACTGTAAGAATCTATCGGAATATTTGGAGTCACAAATTCTGGAAAAAAAAAAAAAATTAGTATCTTCCTAAAATAATAGTCAAAATGAAAAAAGTCACATTATTATAATAAAAAGGAAAAAATCAACGCTATTATCGCTTCAAAAATATTGACGAACACCGAAACGTGTAAGTTGATAAGAGGGTATAATCGTCATATGAAATTTGCCATTTATCAGTGGATCAGATTGGTCGGTTGTGGTCCCAAATTTTAATCTTAGAAAATGTGCGAAAATCGAGAAAGCTAAAATTTTGGAACTGTTTTAAAAAAAAGACGCCGTGACAAATCCAACTGGGCAGATGGAGAACTTTATCAAAACCTTTTACACGTGGGAACTTTCTATTGGTGAAAATGACTGGCTACATAGAACCCCAACTATACTTGAAACTATACGATACGTTACGTATAATTGGGGAAGCTAAAATATCTGTTCATGACGGGAAACTAAAAAAGATCTCTCCATCTGTGTTGGAAATATTGCGAGATATTGTAAAATGAACAGAGATATTTGCTTTTGTTGGCACGTGGCGCCGGATGAAATACGTTGGGCTTAATTTTAGTTAGTGGGCCGAAGTTTCAAAACGTGGGCTTCTCTTTTCCTTCTCAAGACCATTAATGGGCTTTCAGTTGACCCAATAAAAAATGAAACCTTATTCCCTTGAGAAGAACTTTACTACACTCGACGTATCCAATCATGATTTAGCACCCTTATTATTTGAGTCTCTTTACGAACAAGCTTTCTAAATAGGCTATCTTTTGAAATAATAATAATAATATTGTGGAAATCCGGTGAGGATAGAATCCCCACTTGGCATACAAATATCTCACAATATGAATCACATAATCAAGGTTGATAATCGCATAACTTTCCGTTTAATCGAATTTGAGTTTATCTCCAACTAAATTATATAACTGACACTATATAAACCTAGTTGTAATCTGTTTTTAGGAATGAAAAACAAGCCGTAGAAAGCAGACTAATAACTCTTTGTAGATCGAATTACAATCAATAACATAACAGTGGACAGAGACATTACATTACGAGCAACTGAACCACTTTAAAAAGTCTTATTTTGTTCTTTATGTTCTAGATTAATTATAGCTTATCCATCATCATATTGTTTCATTACTGATTCAACAGGATCATGCACATATCCTACGTGATTCTAATACTGTCAATCACATACTTTTGGTTAGTGTGAATCTTTGCATAAATAAATACGAAGATGTTTTCGTTGTAACACGGGGAGAGATGCTTGATGAGTATATGCAATGATAATAAGGCTATTAAACAAGGCCCAACAAAGTCCATTGTAAGGTCCAATACAGCCACTTCGTCTTCGTAGCCCTGACCCAATTTTGCATTAGACTTTTTCCCCGAAGAACACGAGTCTTCGATGGCGTAAGCAGTGATCCCATTTTTGCACTAACAGACGGAGTAAAAAAACTAGTTTTTCTTACCTTGACCTTGCAGTCAAGCTCTTAGCTAGACAAGTTGGTAATTGAATCGTTGGCCAATTATAATTTGGTTAAGTGGCTAAAACTATTTTCAATGATGCAATCTTGTTCGTCAGCTCGCATTATAACATTATTGTTCAGTAAATTACTCAATCCCTTCCTTCAGTCTACTTAATTCTCCAGCTTATAGCTGTGAATAAACCAGGATTTTTTAGTATCTCTAACTCAGTCAACTTAGACGTCCGGTTTGGGGCTGACTTTATAATTCCATTAGCATGCATTAAGTGAATTAATTGTGCCTGATCGCTTTCATTTTCTAAATCTCCGTATAATTTATAGTAATCTGTTCATTTTCAAACTGCTAACAAACTAACTTTCGTTAATAGTACTTTTGATAGGTAATCGAAGAACATGCATGATCAATCCCTTTCGATGCCTAACCATGAATTAGCAGAAGTTAGCCCATACGATTTCACATCTAAACAAGGATTCTCAAGTTGGTGTTCCTGCCATCTAATTACTTATTTTTATTCTAAAGGTTATGAAGATTAGGAAGAATAATACATCACAACCAAATTCATGAATAATATAATCCATAGTGCATCTCTGATCTATCGCTTTAACGTACGTATTCAGCACAAACTGTACTGTTTCATACGTAATAGAAATTGGGTTATGACTTTGCCTTCTCCAAAACAATTGGGGTCAAGCACATGCACTATCTCCTCTGTCATATATACCAGCTAATTCAATATACATTTGCATTTAATATAATATATATAACTATCTATAATCCGAGGTTTTCGTGTTTCATTCATCTAACTATACCCTTAACATTCTCTAACAAAGAATTTTCAAGTGTGAAACGCTAACCCTAGCACCATTCTATAGCTAGAACCTTATACACATGGATAAGCATGACCTAATAATGATACGGAACTGTGTAGTTGCTTATAGTGGGAGGGTAGCATGAGCACTTACTTTATTTGTTACGGGTCCGAAAGATTTTCTATTCATTTTCGACCATGACCAATTGGATGAATTGAACAGCTCCAAATTGTGGATGAAAAACCCTAGTTAAAGATATGTATTGTACCGATAATGCAACCTCGCTTTCAATATTCAAACCAAAACTTTACGCAAGCTATAAGGATATTTATTAAAATGGTGGGCATATCTTCGTCATTTAATTAACTTGCTTTAAGTGGTGGTAAGGAGAAAATATAAAGTACATCTGATAGCAAATCCTTCTATATCATTTACTAATTAGGGTTTCAGTTTATGCCTAACTGTTTTAACTTCTATTTCTGACAAAATTTTCCTAATTCATCATGTGGGTATCTTTAATATATCAAATTTATACGTCTTTATTTGGTTCTCAAAGAGTTTTCGGAATGCTGCAATGAGCATACATGATGACATGTCAGCAGTATTATACTAATTATAAGGAAGTAAATCTTTTACCACATCGAAAACAATTAAACATGGTACTGATTTCAACTTTGTATAAATAGCATTATTATTGCTTTTAATTATAATTAATTCAATGTTAGTACAAATCGTTGAACATGTACTGAGGATAAGATTTTAAGATCTAATGGTGTCACATTGTGGAAAAACTTATGATGGATCTTTTTATCATGATGTAGAAAACTTGTGCTATTTATGGTAACAAGATCTTCTGGCGATTGAATTTAGTGTACGGTGTAAGACATCCACTCAAAACAATTGTGTGGATATGAAAATGAAGCATGTGGAAGCACTTTAAATATAAGCTAAAAGAATAGGGTAGTACGGAGATGGAAGAATATATATATAGTAGTTAGGATTTACACTAGTGGGTTGAAAACATTTAAATTGATAAATTTAAATAAAAATGTGTAGGGTTAAAATTATAAATATTATAAAATATAAAGCATTTTTTTTATTTTTTCAAAGTTTGAGGGACTCCATAAAATTAAACTGGTGTCCAAATTGTAAATACCATAAAATATAATTTATTTTATTATTTATTTTATTTTTATTTTTTTAAGTTTGAGTGGGTTAAATACTTCAATTAACCCATATGTTATAGTGTGGGGTGTGTGTGTGTTTGAACTAGTTTATGCACTCCTACACTATTTCTTAATGTTGAACGGAGAATCGAACCTGAGACGTTGATTTTAACGTGTATATATACATATATTCAGGCCTACAAAAAACTTGTTATTAATATATATATTCCAAGCATAGATCATATAAAAAGTTTAAATCTCTCTCTACTCATCTTTTCCACAGCACCACCAAATTTTTTTTTTTTTTTTTTTATCCTTAAATTTTTTTACTCTCTCATCCTCTCTTTCTCTTTCTCATGCTATTCCCTCTTAAAATTGTTGAAGCCTTAACTACTCAAGGTGCTAAAATTAGCTCCGTTTTCTGTTTTATCAGTTTTAGGTATGTGTATTGCTCATTTTAATTTAGTTTATTTTGGGGTTGAATCATGCTTGTTTTTTGGAGATTTTTTATTATAATTTGAGAGAAAAGACATGTATCTTATGAGTTTATTATGTATTTCGTGTCTAAGAATGTTCTTACTTTTCCAAATTAAAACTTTAACTATATTTTAAAGGAAGTTATTTTTTATCCTTCACCCACCACTTTCTTACATTTCAAATGTCACCGTTCAGTTGCTCAAAATTATTAAAGAAATTTGAGTTATTATCTATGTTTATACCAAGAAAATTCCCCCTTATTTTATTAATTCATATTAAAAGTTAACACAATGTTGACTTGATTTAAGTTTTAGTTGACTTTTGCTAATGCTAGGTTTGATCAAAGTCATGAAAATTTATATTGTATAA